ACAATCCATACATACATCAATTGTATAAAGCACATTTGTACATTCATTACCCTCATCATTCTCAAAACATTTGCTCTCCACTTAAGCCCCTGACATCAGCTCCTAAATTTAGGTTTAAACTGATTGGCCACAAGCTTTTTTTCTGTTTCGAATTCCAATGAGGCTATAAGGTCCAGTAAGAACATGCGTGATCACCAATGCAGTAATAATCTTGTACTACAAATGAGGGGAAGATAAAACGATTTTAAAAAAAAGAATGCGTGGAAATGTACATAGGGAGATCACTACACTTCAAACCCTACCTATCACCACTACTAAAATCCATCTTCTCTACCAATCAGCTTTTCCCTGGCATCTCTGCTAACTGACACTGCAAATTTAACAAGATTAATTTCATGACATAGAAATAGCTCAAGACAACAAATGATAAACTGGAGGGGACATAAAATAAAGTTTTTCCTACTAAAGCAGAAAAGGCTGGGTGAGCAAAGATGGGAGGGCGAGAATAATACAAAATTCAAAAAAATCAACACTTATGCACATCAAAGACTCCTCCAAAAGTGTAGAAAGAGAACCTAAAACCCAAACCCACTGCTTTCAGGATCAAGAACAGAGAGAACTCCCAGGACAATCAAGGAAGAAGTGAAGTACCTTCGAGATCTCTGTCTGAAAGGCAGGGGTTGGGGCCAGAGACAACAGAACATGGAAACCATCAGAGAAAGAAAAGAAGCCAGGTCAATACAAGAGGACCAAGCAAGGAGGCCATGAGGCAGAAAAGAGGAAACTACGAAGCAGAGCCATGGGATGGCTTCCTGGTCCACAGAGGCAAAGGCCAAGGGTAAAGACTAAAGACTGGGCTACTGCCAGCTGAGAGTTGGTGCTATGAACCAATGACTGTATCCTTAATGTTTCCTGATCCTGGTTTGTGATACCTGTTCAATTCCCTAATAGAGAGGTCCTCAAACTACGGCCCGAGGGCCACATGCAGCCCGCCGAGGACATTTATCTGGCCCGCTGGGTGTTTTTGCCCCGTTTTGGTTTTTTGCTTAAAACTAAGATATGTGCAGTGGCATAGGAATTTGTTCATAGTTTTTTTTTTTAACTACAGTCCAGCCCTCCAAAGGTCTGAGGGACAGTGAACTGGCCCCCTGTTTAAAAAGTTTGAGGACCTCTGCCCTAACAAATTCCTTTAATCTTAAGTATCTTCTGTCTGTTCTGTGTGGCCATTACAACTGGTTATCAAACAGTACAGAAAAGTAGTGATGTGGGAGGAAGGTTATCAGAACAGGGTAAAAAAAGGCGGGAGAGTAGAGGCATGGATTCCCCTTCTCCCATGTGTAGCCAGAGGAGGTCACATATGGCCTATACACCAGTTTTAAAGAGGTACAGGATGGTGCCTGGCTATCAAAAAGTATAGCGTCTGGGGTCTTAAAGGCTTGAAGGTAAACAAGCGGCCATCTAGCTCAGAAGCAACAAAGCCCACATGGAAAAAGCACACCAGCCTATGCAACCACGAGGTGTCGAAGGGATCAGGTATAAGGCATCATCAGAACAAAAAATCTTACCATAGTGAATGATGGGGGGAGTGTGGAGTGGAGACCCAAAGCCCATTAGTAGGCCACTGGAGATCCCCTTGCAGAGGGGTTTTGGGGAGAGATGAGCCGGTCAGGGTGCGATATAACAACGATGAGAAATACAACTTTCCTCTAGTTCCTAAATGTTTCCTCCCCGCTCCCACTACCATGACTCGAATTTGACCTTGCAAGTCTGGCTAGACCAGAGGATGTACACTGGTACAGATAGGAACTGAAAATCTAGGGAATCCAGGGCGGATGAGCCCTACAGGACCAGTGGTGTGAGTGGCAAAACAGGGATGGTAGAGGGAGAGTGGGAAGGAAAGAGGGAACCGATTTCAAGGAACTATATGTGACCTCCTCCCTGGGGGACGGACAACCGATAATGGGGTGAAGGGAGACATTGGACAAGGCAAGATATGACAAAATAACAATTTATAAACTATCAAGGGATCATGAGGGAGGGGGGAGCAGGGAGGGAGGGGGAAAATGAGGACCTAATGTCGGGGGTTTAAGTGGAGAGAAAATGTTTTGAGAATGATGAGGGCAATGAATGTACAAATGTGCTTTGCACAATTGATGTGTGTATGGATTGTGATAAGAGTTGTATGAGCCCCTAATAAAATGATTCTTTTTAAAAAAGGTACAGGAGTAAAAGGTAATAATGATAAATACTAGTACACATACAGTCCTGCAATAATAGTAATATCAAAAAATAATTTACAAGTGGATATATAGATATGTAAGCTGGTACAAGTGTGAGATTGTTGGTGTGGCAGAGGTTATTTCTATATGTTTATGTGTGCTGCAAATACATCCAGGTATGTAGTAAAGCATGGGGGTGAGGGGGGATGTAAATGCAAACTTAGCCAGAAGCAAACACCTTGAAGGAATGACTTGCTGGGCTCAAGAGCTTAGGCGCACAGTCTCAAGGAACATAGAGGCCAATTGGCATAACATAGTCCATAAAGGCAATGTTCTTCATGCTTTTTTCATGAGTAGTGACTGAGGTCTTCAGTTTGCCAATAGCCATCCAACATACAACCATTGGTCTCTTCTCTTTGGAGCAAAGAAGAGTGAAGAGAAAAAAAAATTAGTCCAAAGGCTCACATGACTCACCGCCTCTACTAGCCTGAGATCAGAAAAACCAGTGGCTACCACAAGCTACCCTGATTGGGATCACAATAAAATATCAGGGACAGAGTCAGGAGAAAAAAGTATAGAAAATTCAAAATCATAAATCAGACCAGGTTTACAGGTCTGAGACTGGTGGACCTCTGGAAACTATGGCCCTTAGTCAGCCTGCAAACCTGAAACCCACTCCCAAAGATCACCTTTCAGTCAAACAAAAAAACAAAAGTTAGGATGAGGCCATTTGCCCCACCAAAGATTCACAGACCAGGAAATATAGGTAGGGTTGCTGATGTCAGCATCCCCACGAAGGTAGTAATACGTTCTATAAAGTGAATACCTGTGAGGAAACTAATGGCCAGGCTAATAACCATATATAAGCAAAAGAGCAGCATGTGCCCAAACACCAAAGTTTAGAAAACAGGAAAAGGCAGGAAGGTGGACAAATAGAAATAAGGAAGGCAAGGAGGAAGT